TTTTCTTTTTTTTTTTTCTTTTTTTTTTTTTTTTTTTTTAGTTACTTTGTAGGTTAATTTTTTTTAAATATGTTATACATATTATAATAAAAAAAAAAAATAATAATTAACATCTAAAACAAGTTTCTTTATAGATAAACTATTTGAATTTCAAATGCGTATTTTATGTTATCACTAATGCAAGGAATATGGAGTCTGATTATCTCTAACTGTCTTATCTTGATTTATTCCAATATTGTATTTAGACGTAGATATATTTATATCCGGCTACAAGGGGTGGTGTGTTGTGGTAGTGCATATTGTTACACCCGCAGTTCCTCGCTTACGTTAGATTGATTTATAAGGTAGGTTTTTTCTCACTGTTTCTAATATTAAAAAATACTTCAAGGAAAAACTATATATGTATGGATACCTATAAATCAAAAACTGCTGAATCAATATTAATGAGTCTTGCGCTATTTATGAAGTTAAAATATACCTGGCTTTTAGTTTTCAGTGAATTTGTGAGAATAACACTTTTGAAATTAGCACACATGCTACGGACGTCAAAAATGTCGAATTTTGACATACAGGGGTCATAGTTCTGGCTAAGATGAATTTCTGAATCTCACTGTGTCTCCACGGAATCTGAAGACAAGAAACTTTTATGCAAAATAATAATTCAAGGCAGACGAAATTCCACCCGATCACCTCAATGTCCAAAACTAAGTTGTTTTCGTGGAACTAGCGGCCCACTGAAGTATTCGAACCAATTCGACTTAGGGTCCTTTAGAAAAGTCTAAAAAGGCCGGTAACAAGCAAGCCTTCTAGCAATGGAGTGTCCATGGGCGGCGGCAATATATCACTTATATTTTTTTAAGTTCCTTAGAGGTAGTATATATAATGCAGAAATATTGGAGATACTGAGCCTGCGCGTGCTAAATAATCACACTCGGCGTGGTAAACGATCGCAATTGCTTGCACAAATTTTCTCAGAGAAGCGCCATTTACATTTTTTGCGCATCCTGAATATTATTGCATGTGAGACGGATATAATTAGTTGCAATCTGGCTGAATTCACAAGGATTGCATTATTTATAATTAGGTATAAATAGGTTTTTATGTTCATAAGTTTTTTTTCGTATTAAGTTACTGTAAAAGTAGGGAATAAATAAACATCAGGTGAGCCTTTTGCCCGTTTGCCCCTTGTTATATCAAACATTATGTAACAACAGTGTTATGTCTTCAGCCTGTATAAAATAATTCTAAATCATTTTGCATAGGTAGTGCTTGTAGATTGCAAATGAGCAATTCATAAAAGGACCGGTATTTTATTCAAATGTCAGTTTTTTTTCGATTAAGAATCAATAACAGTACACAGGTCGTATCATTGTTGTTTAGTTAGTTTTAAATTAAAAAAATAAAATTTTATATTTTATGATTTCACCCATATTTTACCATTTCGTTGGAACGAATACAAAGTTTAGTTACTTTGTTAAATGTTGTTTAGTTATCATATAAAAGTAAAAATTCAAGTTTTTCAGTTAACTAGTGATACTATTAGTCCACAATTTATAGAAAATGTCGTAGCCTATACAGCCTTCCATAGACGAATATACCATACCATACCATATACCAATAAACAATACCAAATAGATCAGAGATTGCAGCACGGAAAATTGCTATGAGTTTTTTCGAAATGTTATTTGGTTCCTTTAGGAGTAGAACCTCTTGGGCCGTAGGGTATAGATAAATAGGTGCTAATTAAATAATTAAGTTGGCGCCTAGTAGATGATACCGATGACCCTAGAGCTGGTGCTTTCCTAGCTCAATGAATAAGTATCGAAATAGCGAGAAAAAGCTGCCAGCATTACTTTTAATGTGTTTTAGTTTTCTTTTTAGCCATGTTTGATTATTATGATTACTATGTAGGTTGAAATATTGGAAATACTGTATATTTGTACTCTTTGTGATCCTAAAACATAATTTATTATTGCTGCAAGGAGAATCTTAGTTGCCAGTTTTTTGTTATTACAACTGACAAAAAAGCTGGTTTTTCATTTAAATTGGTTTGATTCTGTACATGATTTTCGTCATGTCATTTCCAGAAATAAGTCGCTATCATTATAACAATCAATCGCTCAGTCTTATCAACTACGATTATTAAATACATCAATCAATGCTTTTGCATTGATATAAATAATTGGTTTTTTATCATATATCGTTATTGCTTGCTAAATACAAGATTTTCTTATTAAATACAAGAACATTTCACACAAGCTCAATTCATTAAAAGTATCCAAGCCATGATTGTTCTTTTTTCTGATTTATTTGGTATAATATACATTACTTAAAGACCTCATTGTTTATTAGTAATCATAACAATTAAATATACAGTATTAACAATTTTCTTAACCTACATAGTTTTAATACTAATAATTTAAAAATTAGTACATATTTAATTATTTATTGGGCCATGGCGTGCATAGGCGCTGATTAAAGATTTAAGTTGGCACCTGGTACCGGTGACCCCAGAGCTGGTGATTTCTTCGCTCAACGAATAAGTATCGCAATACAGAGAGAAACTGCTGTCCGCGATAAAGGTACACTGCCACAGGGACCAAACTTTTAAATTTGTTTTAATTTTCTTTTTATAATTTTGTTAGTTTTGGTATACTTAATATCATCTAACATTTCGTTTACTTGATTCATAGACAGGATCCCAGCATTAGCGGGTGAACATGGGCCTTGGATGCCAGATATCTTGAAGCCTTGTTGTATGTACAAAAAAATGTAAACGATTAAAAAAAAACGGTGACATTCACCAGTATAATACTCGAAACAGAACTAATTTAAGCGCACGACTAACCAGGCACCTGAAGATAAACCACTCCTTATATGGAAATTGTAATCGTTTTTACAACAAACTCCCAAGCGAAATTAGAGAATTATCACTAAATAAATTCAAAACTCTCGTTAAACGTTAATTAATATTATATAATATATTAAAGCTTTTTATAAATTTGACGAATATTTAAATGATCCTAATCCTTGGGATTGATTTGCTCCAGTTCAAACAATTTGTATGACTCAAAACTTAGCGATTAAAAAGAGTGGCGGAGAGTTTCTTGCCAGTTCTTTTTGCCCGCTCTACGACCTGGACTTGCGAACTGGTAGAAATGTAAATTCTGACGTTCATAAGTGTACTTGTTTAAAGTTATTTTGAGTTTGAACCAAACCAAAGATTTGCAAATGTGGGTATACGATCAACATCAATGTTTAATTAGTGATAAAGATTAGTTACATACAACATGTCCGTAAATATTTGTATGTTATTATAACAATCAATTTCTTGTGTTGTATAAATAAATTGTGGTTTCGAGATATCGCTAATGAAAGATAAATGAAACGTTTATTGATTTATTCGAGACTGTGAGAATTAATAAATAATAACTAATCTGTTTAAGACTGAAATTCTTTCTAAGAAATTGTAGTCTCTTTTGTCTTGTTCTGATGAATCGCCTATACATTGTGATGAAAAGAGAGAGCTACTAATCTGTTAACTTTAGTTAAAACTCTAAGGTGTTTTAACTGAAGCACTAATCTGTCTGTTGTTTGCTACAGCAAGGCTTAGTTTCTAGTTAGAAATCTTTCGTTTAAAACATATTACATATAAACATATAAATTTTCAATCTCAAACAACTGTCAAATCTTGAAATATAAAAATAATGTTTAATTGACGACAATTTTTTCGTAAGAAACTTCATTTTTTTTTTATTAAAAATTTCTTTAACTCCCCGACTCTTGTGGTGCGGGACGTTATTTTAGACACTATATAGGCGAGTGGGCCGCTGTCTCTGAATTCCCAGTCCTACGCTTTTCTTTCATTGAGAGACATATTTTACTAAACCTATGTATCGACAACTCACTTAAAAAGTAAAAGTATAAAATAAGCAATAAACAAATGTATGAAAACACACATAGTGGCATTCTAAGGTAAGTTCTAGTCTCTTTTACAATTTCATATGTATAAATAAGGTGTTAATATTTATATTTAGGGTGCCAGGTCTGGGCAGGCAATCGTCAATAGTATAAGTGTTTTGATGTACCTTTGTCTCTCCGAACACATTTTCTTTGTGAATGACAATTACAGATAAGCCGTGCTGAATTTGTTTCATTAATAATTAGAGGTTAAAAGATTTCACTGGAAATAATTAATTAACCGATAAATTGCTTATCAAAATAATCCAATCTCAGTGCATACATCGATATTACCTGCATGCAACTGATAAATTGTTGCATTATTATCTACGTACTAATAATGTTTTCAAAATCTCGTAATCAAGACTGCCAGTAGGAGATACACAAGTCCGCTTTAGTACTCTTTTTCCCTCGTTGTCATATGAGAGAAGAACCTATGGCGTATTCAGGGCTCTGTGACTTACACAACTCACGGTCACATATTAAACAATATCTTTTTGGGTTGTTGTCTTATCTTATTGTATATGTTATGTTTACTTTTATAATTAATGTGTTTATTTGACTTTGAAGTATGATATATTGAACGATGTACTTTGTCAAGTGTCAGTGTCATTGTAAGATTAAAAAAATAATACAAATTTAAAATATAGATAACGTAGAGATAGCTTATTTATTTCTTCTATAAAATGTATTTCAACTTTGAAGCGGTATGCCGCAAAGCAAAAGCTGCACCTCAGATTTGCATATCTGTTTTGTGATCAATGTTTTATTTCTAATAGGTATGTAGGTCATTAACCTTCTGTCTGACACACGCCGTCGACGTTTTGGGTCTAAGGCAAGCTAGTTTCCTCACGATTTCCTTCACCGTACGAGCGAGTGTTAAATGCGCACTTAGAAAGTCAATTAATGCATGGTACGAACCTACGACCTCGGAGATGAGAGTCGCACGGTGAAGCCACTTGATCAACACTGCTCTATAGAGTATACCGCAAAGAATCTTTAGTATTCACGTGTCCAATGTACTATGTATTCTGATTTACCTTCTTTCGTATCTCCTTAAAAACATAGGGCCCCACTTGTTGCACCTGCAAGCTGACGTTCTTTCCAGCGAGAATGTCTTCTGTATTGGTGATGTTGAACAGAAAACACTCCAGGTACATTGGGATCGGAATGTCCCTCCAGATGTAGAAGGATGTGGAACCTTCCGCGAGAACCATCATCTGTAATTATAATAATGCATATTAGTATTTAATAGTAGTGTATCAAGCGGGTATCAGTTAGGTGTACGTGAGTTCGAATTCCGGCTGTGGTAATTAATGTGAACTGTGTTCAAACTTGTTTTTTTATTGTAATAGGAGGCAAAAAAACACAATCTTGTCCTAGCAGGTTATCAACAAGAATGCATAAAAAATTCACACACGAAGTAAAAATAAACAAAAGAAATTAATTAGGAAAAACAAAATAAGATAGGTACTAAAAAATTAACTAACAAATAATAGAACTTTTGTAAGTTTACTCAACGAACCATAAAAGTCAGCGAATCATATGGACTCTTTTCAGAAGGTTAGTTAGTAGCTGTGGGCACATGTAGTAACGGCGGACGATGGCACCTCCTGACGTACCCATCAGGCACAACTAACTCATTGTAGTACTGCCGAATTGCTGCCCTTGAGGTGTAACAATTTTATTGAGTACATCCCAAGCATGAATTCTCGGCGTACTCTAAAATCATTGTAGCCCACAGAACCAAGAATAATTACGGTCGGATACATGAGTGGGTAAAAAGTGGACCGTATATCCTAAGATTTGTTTTGTACCCGCTCTAACATCACCTTAGTTTCATAAGGAGCCCAAATCGCGGAATTAGGCTACAGATGACTTCTCATGCGCATCATATAACCCTCTCACAGTAGTGATATTCGCGAAATCCTCTGATTATCTCAGTACAAACACAAGTTTTTATAGGATTTTCGACAAATCTGTTACAATGCCGAGATCTCTGTGCGTTACCCGTTTGATTGATTCCTAACCTATTGTATAATTGTAAAATATAGCTTGTTCTCAAAGGGTGAGATTCAGTAGTGACTGAGTCTAGTGAGACTTTGGCTAAACTGTCAAAAGTCAAAAAGGGAGAGAGACAACCCGACGCATGGACGCCGCCACAAGCAACGACATTTAAGTGAGCATGACGATCCTTGAAATGTGAACTCGGCTACATAAGAAAATAATAATAATATTACTTCTACTGACTCCCGTAGGTCAAAATGTAATAAATTTTTGACGTCAGACTTATCACGATTTTGAATCTTTCCTATTGTGATTAAATATCAAGAAAAAACAAATATCTTCGGATACCTTTCGATATACAAAAATCGTGAGTTAATAAGTGAATAATTAGTATTAATTATGAGTATCGAACGATCCGATCAAATGATATCGAATAAATATATTGATAAATAATTATTAATCAATGTATGGGTGACCGCAATGAAGTTCAAGTGCATTGATAGCATTTGTTATGATTTGGTTAGAATAGATATAATTTTCTATTCACTCAGAGGAACCACGATATTGTCAACACAAATCAACTTTTGTATATAATTTGAATTACTGTAGGAAAACGTATTTGTTATTTGTTAGTGATACGAATAGTTCGAATGTGAAAGTAAGCTGTACTAAATTGTCTCCGTATCCAGCACCTAATATCTGTTATCATTTCCACTCTAATGATAAGATTGGTTGAACAAAAAATATTATTTTATTATTATTTTAACAAAATAATTTATTGACAACAAAACAAGTGAAAGTGTAAATTCGATTCTATCTATAGGTCACCGGTGCCTAAAATAATATGTCAGACATAATATTTTATTTGTTCGCAGTCAATTCTGGCTACCTACTCGTAAGTTGTTGTTGAACCTAACGATGTCGTACCAACAATAGTTTTTTTTTATAATTAATGGACCCACAACTTTTTTTGTTATTTCTTATTCTATTTTTTAAACATAATAAACTCGAAAAACCCTCATTGCATTTCGTTGTGAAATATTTACACAAGTAAATAAATATTGCAAATATATACGAGTACATGTCATTTTTTTATTTTCGAAAACATATGTAAATAAGTACTTAAAAATTTTGTTTTTCTCACGGATTAAGGAATTTATTCAACCTTTCAAAGGATTGGCTACTCTAATTTAAAAAAAAAAACAGTGGCACTGCAACCTTTTTAGGCCACAGATTTATGTGTCTGTTTCATGATCATTTGTCAATCTAATAGGTCTGATCTACCTAAAAGGTGATCAGCCTTCTGTGTCTGACACACACCGTCGACTTTTATTTGGGTCTAAGGAAAGCCCGTTTCCTCAGGATGTTTTCCTTCAACGTTCGAACGAATGTTAAATGCGCACATAGAAAGAAAGTCCATTGGTGCACAGCCGGGGATCGAACCGACGACCTCAGGGATTCGAGTCGCACGCTGAAGCCACTTGGCCAACGCTGCTCTAATATTAATGACATTAAATAAACTTCTAATAAAAAACATAATTAAAAAGAAACAAAGAAGTTCTCAAAATCTTGGCTTGAGTAATCTTTGTCGTTATTATAGACAAAATAGCATTGACTAAAAAAGGGCCCCTTCCCCCCCCAAAAACATTAGTTATATTAATAACATATACGTTAAAGAAGACTTAGGTTAGTTAGGTTAGACTATAAAATGGTTTATAATGACTATATTGACCCAATAGTTGACATAGGTTATTTTGGTTCTGTGAACATTTTCATGATGTCAACTGTATCAAAGCGCAATACTATACATATGTTAGAAGTGTTCTTGAAAATAGTTGCTTGGTTTAGACAAGAGAAAATTGAAAAGATTCAAAACGACTTTATAAAATCCTTTGAGACCTATAATTACTTTAATTCGTATGAAGCCAAAAAACATCATGTTCCTGCCAGACTCGTAAACTGTACTTTGCTGCACGTTTCTCACATCAACATTTACTATGTAAAAAACTCAGTGAATCATCGCGCAGGACTTACAACGACCACTATTTAAGCCTCGACTTGTTTAAGCTATCACGAAATATGCTTAAAAGGTGTATTAAGAATATCCATAGCGCTAAATTACCTGCATCATTCGCACACCCCACATACACACCATCACGTACATATCATCTCTTTCACACCATCACACAACACATCCGAATTATAAAAGGTTTTTTTTTTCCCTTTTTTTTGGGGGGGGAAAAGGGGGTCCTTTTTTTTTTTTTTTTTTTTTTTTTTAAACAAAATTTTTTTTTTTTTTAAAAATTTTTTTTTTTTTTTTTTTTTTTCCTTTTTTTTTTTTTTTTTTTTTTTTTCCCCCCCCCCCTTTTTTGGGGGGGGGGGGGGGGGGGGGGGGGGGGGGGGGTTTTTTTTGGGGGGGGGGGGGGGGGGGTGGGGGGGGGGTTTTTTTGTTTTTGGGTTTTTTTTTTTTTGGGGGGGGGGGGGGGGGGGGGGGGTTTTTTCTTCTTTTTTGATATTACTTAGTTAAATGTAATAATTTTGATTGATTTTTTCCTTTGTAAGTTTCGTAAAAGTTCCAACCTTTTTGTGTATATTATATATTTTATCTTTAGCTATATATTTAGAATACTTGTTTTTTATTATATGTAGAGAGATTGAGATTATTTACTGTATTTGATTTTTTATCAACTTGATATCTTGTCAAAATATAATAATTTTGCGATTATATCCTTAAGAGGGGTTCTATTTATCAAATATAATATTTAAAAAATAATTAATTTAACCAACTAGTATGTAGTATATTATGTTGTAATGCTTTTAGGGGAAAGGTGATTAAATGTTTAAATTCAAGGTGCCTTTATAGCTTGGGCGAGTAGTCGTATTTGACCATAAGTTTGACAACAATTATAAATACCTTAACCTATTAATAATAATAACTTAAGGCCCTATCCCAGCACGAATTGCTGTGTCAGTGTCTCGGGGTGGACTGCGGTGCGCAGTGGAGAGGCGCGTCGCGTCGGCCCGTATTAACAATTAGTTATGTAAAACATCAAATTAATGTAATTTAATCATTTTTTTTTCTGAAATGGATTGCGATTAAATATATCGTGTAAATTTCAAAATTATGTTCTATATACATTATCGTCATAAAATGAATTCAAAGTGTTGAAAATTGGCTATGTTTGGATTTTTTTCTATCGAGAGAAGTTATTTAAATCGTGTATCGATCTTTCAAAATGGATACATAAACTACTCAACTCCACCATATATTTTTTCCATTCGCACTACTTCAAGAAACGATGACGAAAAATGGAAAGAAACAATGTACTTTTTTGGAGTTTAGCGATAGGATAGGTCCTTAAGTTATTATGTTAATGTTTTTGTTATGAAAATTGATATGACATTTGCTTATTTTTAATGGGTGTAGTGAGGATTTTTACAATAAATCGATCTAAATGTACCACTTTCTTTGGTAATAAACGATTTATTTATTTATTTTGTATATTGTATTTATTATGAAAATATTAAGTTTTTGGAACGCCTGACTATTTTACACCCAAAGATGACAATTTTTTCGAATAGCCTATATAAAATACAATGAGAGAACCCTGCCGGCTTTTATAGAATTTTTTATTTTCGTTGCACTTTGTAGCAATTATTATTATTTTCATGTATAACGTCGTCATTCTTAGTATTTTTTTTGTTAATTTAAACATACTAGGACTCGCTGTAATTGATTTATAAAATCATAATACACAATAGCATTTATGATAATTTTTAAAGGAGATTTTCAGTCTTTTTTGATTTTGTCTAACCAACACTAGCATCTAATAAGACCTAACTAAAACTACACATGGATATAATCTGAGTAAAGTTATTATTAATAAACTTACGATAATTATCACAAAAACGCAATACAACAGTAACGATGTAAGTTTACCTTTTTAATTTGTGAGAAAAATATACCAGACCAACTGCATTTTGAAATAACACCAAACACAACTAACGCAGCACCAACACACATCACCAAAATATGTTTTCTATACACAACCATATTACACAATATAAATCACAGATCAAAGATCGATAAAAAAGTAATTCATCAGAACTTCGTGATAGAAGTATCCCGCGCAAGTAGCTCGTGCCAACTATTCATATCATAGTTTCGATTGCACGCCCGCGCCGATAAAAAGCGATTTCGCATAAGCTGATA